GTGGGCTGGCCGGGGTCGGTGCATGACTCCAGAGTGCTCCGGAACAGCCCACTGTACAGGCAGGCCATCTACCCTCCTCCGGGCCACTTCATCTTGGCAGATGGTGGGTACCCGTGTCTCCAACACCCACTCCCCCTCATCACTCCTTTCAAGCGGCCGGTACATGGTGTGGGAGCCCTGCGCTTTAACAGCCATCATTCCAGGGCACGCTCAATCATAGAGCGTGCCCTGGAATGATGAAGACGAGGTTCAGGGCCATCTTCCTCCAAGCGCTGGAGGAAGATGGCCGCCTTCTTTTTCTCTCTTCTTCTTCTTCTTCTGCTTCTTTTTCTTCAACTAAAAAAAAAAAAAAAAAGAAGCGCGCAAAGCACCTTGGGAAATCTAGTGGGAGGCGAGGCCACTAAGGACGGTAGCGATGCATCCTCAGAATTCGGGGCAAAGGAGGACACATTTTGAGGCTGCATTTTAAGCGTCCTCAGAATTTTTGCCAAATGGGACGGCCTCCGCGCAGCGTTGTGACGTCACCGGCCTCAAAATGCGTCCTACCAAGTATGCAGCCTGCGAATTGAGACGCAGCCTATGTAGGGGCAGTGATAGCCATGCTAACTATAAAGTGGCGGTGGTATCCATGCTAACTATGTAGGGGCAGTGATAGCCATGCCAGTCCAGGGACTGACTGCAGTTCTACTGTAAGGTTTCTTGGTCAAGATCAATGATAGGTGTACCTGGCATGGAACAACCAGACCATGAATATTGCTTCAGGTTAATACACTATATTCTTTAGGCTATGTATGCTTTCAAATAAAAATATCCACCATCACCATAATAATTTTTTTACAACTCAAGTACTGCATATACATATATTCATATACATATATATTAGTGATGTTATGAGATGAGCCGAGGCTTCGAGGCGTGTGTCAAATAATGGAGGGGGCGTTTCCCCGAAGCGCGAGTCGAGGCATGATTCATTTAGAGGAGGGGCCAAAATGGATGACGTCCGAGGCCTCGCTACCGTGAAACCGTGTGACCGCTTAAGGAAGTGGTTCGAGAAGCGCAAGAATCTTGACAGGAATCTGAACAGCCTCAGTGTTCAGTCAAGATGTGGGTGTTTGGAGGAGAGATGCTCTCAGCTGGATAAAGTTTGGATAGATTCTAAGAATAGATTGGTTGGAAAAACAACCAATCTAGTTGCTTAAAGCTAATTTGGTCAGAATAAACAATGTAATGATCAGAATTTGAGCAAACCACCGGACAAAGCCAGTGTTAACACTTAAGTGTTAACGAGTATTTTCTCGTAGCTACAGTTGCCTACATAGGTGGCGTCATCCGTAAGACAGGCTGTCACTCTAGAGGTTCATGGTTCAAGACCTGTCTTTGGCTTTTGAAAGCTGCAATTAAACTAAATTGTTTTGGCTGATGAGACTAATTTGCATTGTTTTGCCCGAGTAAAAATATAGATTGGGTAAATTAGGTCGGTTTAGCCAAAAGATTGACACATCTTCCAACCTGATTAAAACCAAAAAACGTGGAAAAACTAACACCTTTCATTTTGCTCATCATTGCCCAATTTGCACAAACACTGTCACTGTCTGCTTGAGTTTATTAATTATTAACCACCTTAAATGATTGTTCTAAGAAATTTTACACTTAAAACTTACAAAAAAATTATTATACACACCAACCATTAACAATTTCAAGGGAACTTAAAAGGGGGGAAAAAAGAAAAACATTTGCAAAAAAATCAGATTTTATTACCAACTGTAGTTCTGCTCTCCACCAGTAGGTGGCGACATGTTCACATGAAGCCTCATGAACTGTGGGGATCGTTGAAGCAATTTGGCCAAACGGTTCAATAAGGCTTCATCTCAGCATAACTAATAGATACACACACTGTTAAGAAGCAATAAGATTTTCTGTAATGTTCAGGTTCTAGGATGTGTGTGTCTATATGATCCTTTTGTTTTTTTGAATTGTTTGTTACCTTTGTGGGTGTTTCCTTTTTAGAAGCCATCTTGGAACCTTACTAAGAAGGAGGCCCGCCTCCAACCCAGCTCTCTTATAGAGGGAGCTATGATGGCTGAACTTTGATTGGCTGAGGGTAAATTGAGAAGGCGGGGATACCAGGAAATAGGTGGACTGCTGGCTGTAGATAAGAGGCCTGATGGGAAAGCTGCCATTTTGTTCTAGGTATAACCATGCTGTGATGATAGAGAGCTAATAAATCATCTTCTGTTTTTGCTCCAACCGACTCTGCTGAATGTTTCCTTCCTCGCCTCTCAGTTTAACACAGACATTTATATTAGAGCGGCTCAATTCATTGAGGGATTACATTGATTCATCTATGAGTGCTGATTCAGCGATTTAATGAAATATCTGTGAAATGTGTTAAAGCAGCTTCAGGATCACATTCCCTTTGTTTACTGTTTGACTGACCTATTAGTTTATTTATTTATCATTGATGACATTAATGAAGGAAGTGGCCTCAGCAGATCTGAATTCATTTCTAACTTTGTGTTTTATTGCATGTTGAGGCGAGGAAGGTTAGATTTCCATGTTCTGCTGACAGATGATGAGTAGAACTTCTTTAATTTCTGTATCTGGATAAAATGAAAGGAAATTATCTCATTTTTATCGAACTTGTTTTAAAATTCCTTTTTTATTATAACCTGTTCTGATGTTTTCATATTAAATGCAATGAAACACATGAAAACTGCAGCGAACGCCGACCACCTTCACTGCAGAGGAGGACAACCATCCATCATTCATCCATCCATCCATCCTTCATCCATCCATCCATCCTTCATTCATCCATCCATCCATCCTTCATCCATCCATCCTTCATCCATCCATCCATCCATCCATCCTTCATCCATCCATCCATCCTTCATCCATCCATCCATCCTTCATCCATCCATCCATCCATCCATCCATCCTTCATCCATCCATCCATCCATCCATCCATCCTTCATCCATCCATCCATCCATCCATCCTTCATCCATCCATCCATCCTTCATCCATCCATCCATCATTCATCCATCCATCCATCCTTCATCCATCCATCCATCCTTCATTCATCCATCCATCCATCCTTCATCCATCCATCCATCCTTCATCCATCCATCCTTCATCCATCCATCCATCCATCCATCCTTCATCCATCCATCCATCCTTCATCCATCCATCCATCCTTCATTCATCCATCCATCCATCCTTCATCCATCCATCCATCCTTCATCCATCCATCCTTCATCCATCCATCCATCCTTCATCCATCCATCCTTCATCCATCCATCCATCCACCATCCATCCATCCATCCTTCATCCATCCATCCATCCTTCATCCATCCATCCATCCTTCATTCATCCATCCATCCATCCTTCATCCATCCATCCACCATCCATCCATCCTTCATCCATCCATCCATCCTTCATCCATCCATCCATCCTTCATCCATCCATCCTTCATCCATCCATCCATCCTTCATCCATCCATCCTTCATCCATCCATCCATCCTTCATCCATCCATCATCCATCCATCCTTCATCCATCCATCCATCCTTCATCCATCCATCATCCATCCATCCACCATCCATCCATCCATCCTTCATCCATCCTTCATCCATCCATCTTTCATCCATCCATCCTTCATCCATCCATCCATCATCCATCCAACATCCATCCAGCATCCATCCATCCATCATCCATCCATCCATTCATCCAACATCCATCCTTCATCCATCCAACATCCATCCATCATCCATCCATCCTTCATCCATCCATCCACCATCCATCCATCCTTCATCCATCCATCCATCCTTCATCCATCCATCCATCCTTCATCCATCCATCCTTCATCCATCCATCCATCCTTCATCCATCCATCCTTCATCCATCCATCCATCCTTCATCCATCCATCATCCATCCATCCTTCATCCATCCATCCATCCTTCATCCATCCATCATCCATCCATCCACCATCCATCCATCCATCCTTCACCCATCCTTCATCCATCCATCTTTCATCCATCCATCCTTCATCCATCCATCCATCATCCATCCAACATCCATCCAGCATCCATCCATCCATCATCCATCCATCCATTCATCCAACATCCATCCTTCATCCATCCAACATCCATCCATCATTCATCCATCCTTCATCCATCCATCCATTCATCCATCCATCATCCATCCATCCATTCATCCAACATCCATCCAGCATCCATCCATCCATCAATTCATCCATCATTCATCCATCCTTCATCCATCCATCCATCATCCATCCATCCATTCATCCAACATCCATCCATCATTCATCCATCCTTTATCCATTCATCCACCATCCATCCATCATCCATCCATCCTTCATCCATCCACCGTCACTCCACCCATCCATCCTTCATCCATCCACCGTCCCATCACCCATCCATCCTTTATCCATTCATCCACCATCCATCCATCATCCATCCATCCTTCATCCATCCACCATCCCTCCATCCATCATTCATCCATCCTTCATCCATCCATCCACCATCCATCCATCATCCATCCATCCTTCATCCATCCACCATCCATCCATCCATCCTTCATCCATCCATCCATCATCCATCCATCCTTCATCCATCCACCGTCACTACACCCATCCTTCATCCATCCATCCATCCATCATCCATCCAGCCATCCATCCACCATCCATCCATCATTCATCTGTCCTTTATCCATCCATCATCCACCCATCCACCATCCATCCATCCGCAATCCACCATCCATCCACCATCCATCCATCCATCATCCATTCATCCATCCATGCATGTTTTGGTCATTTAAAGTTTTACTTGCGCCGTCATCAGGTTGTCATGGCGATGAGCTATAAACCTGCTACCTGTCAGTTTGGTCCCATTCTTCTAGATAACAGCAGCCTTTGATCTTTATAATCTATACATGTCCTGGTTTCAAGCATTTTAGCTGTTTAACAAACAAACACCACCTAATGCTGTAATAGAAAGTCAGCATTTTATTTTAGAAAAGTTTGACAAGTCCACCTCCCATGCCTACAGTAAGTCTGCACAGAGGTGAGCCATGAAAACAGGATTGAAATCACGGAAACATCAATATTTAAACATTAGAAAACACCCAACTAATTCAGGAAGGGATGCAGGTAACACCTGGAATCTCTAAACAGCACAAAAACATTGAACCATCAGGTGAGAATGGAAGGATCTAAACCTGCAGGTTCATTCAGAACAAAACACAACAAGTAGAGAAAGTAGAAAAACATCCTGGAATCATCATCTGCATTTAACTCAATCACATCAAGATACTTCCTCTTCAGAAAAACGTAATTTCCAGTCCGAATCGTGTGTCTGATGAAGGTCATAACGACCGAAACGTTACATTCAGAAATCCTTGAAGGAGAGCCATGCGGGGTGCGCCAACTTTTTTGGGAAATCTGTGACCAAGCCCTCTGAGGACACGCCCTCTGTGAACCAGGTGGTACTTTCCAGAAGCTAACCAATACCGTCAAACTGTCCGCAGAGGTCTGAGAAAAGCTTGTTATGGTGTTAGATACATTTTTACTCAGAGGCTTTTCTCTCACTGAAGCAGTTAAAGTCGTTTCTTGGATAAACCATCAGATCTGGAGGATCAAGATGATACAGATCCAGAATAAACCTAAACATTCATGAAGCTATAGAAAGACTTTAGGGCCAACTGGTTCTAAGGGACAATAGTCTCTGAAAAGACAAAAACAAACTACACTCATCCTTTTATGGAGTCAGAGTTCAGATCTTCCTCTGATAGAGAAATGTAAACATTGATGAACAGTTTGCAGAAGAAATAAAATAGCAGGTTTTTGGTTTTCATATAATATCCCAAAAGATCTAAGAGAGCAGTGAAGGCACCAGGGGGAGAAACACTGCTGGGTTTCATCAGCAAAGTGGAAACCAGAAAGCCGGGATAAACCCAGAAACACTGAAACTCAAGCTGAAGATGAAGCTAAGCTTATGAGAGGGAGGAACTCAGGAACGATCAAAGATTAGAAACACAAATATTCCTCGAAATCAACGTTTCATAATAAAAAAAACATGAAACTAAATTGAAAGTTAAAGTTCACTTCAAGCGCAAATAATCAAATAGTTCTTAAAAAACAAACTCCAACATCCGTCAGCATCTGGTCGCCTTCAGCTCCAGCTCAGCCAACGGCAGCAGCATCATCGTAAACTAGTTTCTTCTGCAGGTAATGTTGGTTTCTGTGGGGAAACAACAGAGTTAAAACCTTCATGTTTCTTTGAAAATACATTTTATCACATAACAAACCAGGCTGAGCTGGAAAAAAACAACCTCCTGAGGTCTGAACTCATTATCCTACTTTGCCTACAGTCAATAGAAGCTTAGCTCAGAGGGTGGCGGTGGAAAAGCATCCTGGACAAGCCCCCAAACATGGTACATTCCATGCTCTGTGCTGCTACATGGTTCAATGTCCTGTGGATTTCTACACCTCTGGTGAGTGAAAACGCTGCTGAGTTGGTCAGCTGGTTTTATATTGATAGACACAGCTGGTTCATTTCAGATTTACAAACTGCTTTTTCTCACAATTTGAAGCATTATGTGGAGAAAACATTAGATCTGTTTCTAGTTTCTGCTGTTGTAGTGAAATCTGGTGGTTTTAACAGTGATGTGGTTAAATAATAGCAGGTATGCAGGTACCTGGAGGCCAGGTTACGTCGTAGAGCTTCCTCTCCTTTCCAGGAATCTACGCCATCAACAGGAAAAACAGGATTAGTTTGCTGCTTTTTGCTGTTTTCATGCAGAAACACAAGTAGAGGATGGATGGAGCGAAGATGTCAGGTTGGGTTAGTTGATGAGTGGAAGACTGAGGATCTCCATACCCTCTGCTGCTTCAACAGTTTACAATAAAACCAAAAACCTGGTGGAGTTCAGTTGCTCTCTGAATCCAATGATTTGATTTCTCTCACGTTTTGTTGTCATTCATCAGGATGTTCAGCAGATATTCAACATTATTATCATTTTCTTTAGATGTTGCAGCTATTAGCTCTGCTAAGGAGCTCATGTTTTCATCAGCATCTGTTTGTCTAGTTCCAAAATAACAAAAAAAGTTAAGAACCGATGTTGATAATATTTTCATCAGATGTGAAACAAGCTTTTCCATTTTGGTGATGATCCAGATCATGTGTGAGTTTTAGCTAAAGTTCTGCTTGATGGAGGTCTTTCTGCTTCCAAGCTTCAGTCTTAAGACTCTGCTAATAGTTAGATTTTATTTTTTTTCTCTCTAACACTTGAACAGCTTAGACCTGCCTAATAAATAAAACTACTTCTGGTTTTATTATTTATTAAGACAGCTTTTAAGTTATTTAACAAACATTTTCTATAGTAAACATTCAAATATTATCCCTACCTGTTCAGCAAAGGTTAGAAAACTTTATTTTGAACATTTAAGGAGGACTCACACTTGTGTCTGCCTGACAAACTCTGCAAAGCGTTGATCTCTGGAGCACAGCTCGATTATTCTGAGACGCTCCTGGATCTCCTGCAGAGAGGTCAAAGGTCATGTTCTGAGATCAAGTTTACATAAGAGCAAAATACTGATCAGCATAGTACAAACATCCTGCTGAGCCTGAAAATGTCTGAGCCAAAGAAAGGTCACAGCATTGGGTCGGCTAAGCCTGGAGAGTCCAAATCCCTCCATTAAAGTAAGAAAGTAGAGCCAGAGCTCCAGGAGGAGGTGAAGACCGCCGGCTTATCAGCGCCCTCTGGAGGAAGGAGCCACAGAGGAAACCAAATACCCAACCTCAGGATGGAGGTTCAGGTGGAGGAAACTGAATTCTGACTCAGTCCTTCCTTTCTGTTCTGACTCTTAAAGGAGGCGGTCCCATTTCCCTGCTGCTCCTGGTCCTCCTGGTCCTCCTGCTGCTCCTGGTCCTCCTGCTGCTCCTGGTCCTCCCTGCTCTGTCCCTGCTTTGCTGTTTCTAGGCTTCATTTCACCTGAACTCAAAAAATGGAACCGGTCAGCTGGTCTCTAAATGCAATTGATCAAATGTTCTAAACTGGCAGACTGGGAAAAGGGGACCAGTCCCATCCTGCTGGGACATACTTGATGGGAAACACCATGGACTCCTGGAAGGCTTGGAGGATGGTTTGTTTCACAACGCCGTCACTGGAGGATATCAAAGATGTGTGGATATTTGGATTTATGATACTCAGATTTCTCCTGTTTGGATTTAGAGGATACCTGATGTATCTTTAATTACAGAGGATTGATCAGGCTGCCAGCAGCGGTTGATGACCTCACAGAGGCTGTGAACGAGCAGCTGAGCCGTATGCTGGGTGCGATCGAACGCAGGCTGGCTGCGGTGGTTGAACTAAAAGGTGAGATCAGATATTATCTTGGATGTGCACGCTCGCTTTAAGGCGGAAAATCTCAACACATTTGGAAAATTGGACTCGCCACGAAGAGCCAGCAAGAAAAGACTCAAAGCTGACTGAAATTGAGCAGCCTGCTCTCAAAACAATGAGGGTTATTCTGGATTCGACCTCAACCTGATCAAATCTCCCTGGGATGTTATGGCTGAAGGACGAGAACTGCCCCCCCCCCCCTCCCCTACCTATGCCCAGAACTGTTGATAAACGTCGGCAGCCATTAGAACGCGCCAAAGGCCATGTTTTGCGGCACGTATGGCCTCAGTAAGCCGTCCCTCTCAAACCCCCCCCACCCCAATGCATGTGATGCTTGTACTGAAACTGAAATCTTGATTGCAATGTAAATTGTAGTTGACAATAAAGAAATTGATTGATTAATTGATTGAGGAAAGGTGGAGGAAACCAACCCCCTCCTCTGAGTCAAACATCTCATCTCTAAACAAAGACATTTACAGCCTAGAGGTAATATTTTAACTGTCAGTTACTTTATTAAATACTTTCCAATCTTTATTAGAGGCACGTCTCTCCACCTACTGAGGGATTCCACAGGGAGGTTACCTCTTTAGACAGGGTTGGGTTTTGGCTGATGGTGACTATTTCTTCTCTGTTCAGGACTGAAGAGCTGTACTGGGGCTGGGTTGAGTCACGGCACTGGTGGTACTGGGGCAGGCCGTCGTCATAGCGACGGTAGTACTGAGAGGTAACTGGGTCGCTCTCAAACATTGGGTTGAACTTTGTGGCTCGCTCCAAAGTTGGAAGACTCTCATGCCGTCTAAACAGGGAGAAGATCAACGTTTGATTTCAGGGAAAATGTCAGATTAAATTAGCTGCTAAAATCCAGAGTTGGGTCCACCTTAGCGGGTCCTCTGTGTCTTCGCCATCATACTGTTCTCTGAGGGTTCTGGCCAGGAAGAAGATGATCCCACCAGCCACCAACAGGAAACCAGCTACCGAGGCGATAGCGATGCCCACCACCAACGGCTCTGAGACATACTCCTCACAGTGCTCCCCGCGGTACCACCAGTTCTCCCCAACTCGACACCTGCAGCCAAGAACAGGACTTGGACTCGTTCAAGTATTCCCTCATAGATCCACTTCTGCTTAGACGCCTTTTAATCCAAATACAATCGTTTGAAATCCTGAGTTTCAGTTAGACTAGATATCCATTCTATACTAGAACAGATCCACAGGAGTCATACTTTATAAAATACTATCTGTAAACTATTACTACTATCTGTACTACTATATCTACAATCACAGGTATTAACCAGATGAAATGAGAAAATATCCCTCATTTTATTTCTTCATTTTTTATGCTAAAAGATGTAAATTGCTAATAATGTAAATAAGATTCAAATAAACACTGAGTGGTAGAAAGCTCTAAAGAACAGCGTTAACATGACCACTGTAAGGTGTTTCCTTTTGACCGACCCCCCCTTCTACCTGCAGATGGCGCCCTTTCCAGAAATGATGTCACATTTGCCATCATTGAGGCAGAAGTCATGTTGGACGTCACAGATGCTCTGACACGGCAAGCCGTCGATGCTTATGTAGCCTGGGTCACACACGCACTCCGCCTCCCCCGACCACTGATTCACCTTACACCTGGAGAACTCGTTACAGGCCTGGAACTTACAGGGATCGGCCCGCTCACCTGGCAGAGAAAGACACCATCACAGGAATGCAGAGAAGCACATTCAGGCTTTGCCAAGTGATGAACGTTGCAAACTGCAGCAGTTAAACCAACAACAGCTCAGAGACGGCGCTGGAAACTCAACCTAAACTTGGACAACGACACCACCCCGTTAGCAGGCCTTTCAGAAAGTCTATGATGTGAACAGTAAACATTCAGTATCACTAATTTCTAAATAATCAGCAGTATTTGCTCCACCTTCATGGCTTTCAACCTCATCTTTTGTTTATCACCGCTGTCAGACAGACAATCTGCTCATTAATGGACGCAACCAAACCAGTTTGTGTGACTAACATTAGATCACTGTAGATCACGCCCACTTATTGCCCACTTCCTTTAGATCACGCCCACTTATTGCCCACTTCCTCTAGATCACGCCCACTTATTGCCCACTTCCTCTAGATCACGCCCACTTATTGCCCACTTCCTCTAGATCACGCCCACTTATGGCCCACTTCCTCTAGATCACGCCCACTTATGAACCACTTCCTCAAATCACGCCCACTTATTGCCCACTTCCTCTAGATCACGCCCACTTATTGCCCACTTCCTCTAGATCACGCCCACTTATGAACCACTTCCTCAAATCACGCCCACTTATTGCCCACTTCCTCTAGATCACGCCCACTTATTGCCCACTTCCTCTAGATCACGCCCACTTATTGCCCACTTCCTCTAGATCACGCCCACTTATTGCCCACTTCCTCTAGATCACGCCCACTTATTGCCCACTTCCTCTAGATCACGCCCACTTATTGCCCACTTCCTGTAGATCACGCCCACTTATTGCCCACTTCCTGTAGATCACGCCCACTTATTGCCCACTTCCTGTAGATCACGCCCACTTATTGCCCACTTCCTGTAGATCACGCCCACTTATTGCCCACTTCCTGTAGATCAGGCCCACTTATTGCCCACTTCCTGTAGATCACGCCCACTTATTGCCCACTTCCTGTAGATCAGGCCCACTTATTGCCCACTTCCTGTAGATCAGGCCCACTTATTGCCCACTTCCTGTAGATCAGGCCCACTTATTGCCCACTTCCTGTAGATCAGGCCCACTTATTGCCCACTTCCTGTAGATCACGCCCACTTATTGCCCACTTCCTGTAGATCACGCCCACTTATTGCCCACTTCCTGTAGATCACGCCCACTTATTGCCCACTTCCTGTAGATCAGGCCCACTTATTGCCCACTTCCTGTAGATCAGGCCCACTTATTGCCCACTTCCTGTAGATCACGCCCACTTATTGCCCACTTCCTGTAGATCACGCCCACTTATTGCCCACTTCCTCTAGATCACGCCCACTTATGGCCCACTTCCTCTAGATCACGCCCACTTATGAACCACTTCCTCAAATCACGCCCACTTATTGCCCACTTCCTCTAGATCACGCCCACTTATTGCCCACTTCCTCTAGATCACGCCCACTTATTGCCCACTTCCTCTAGATCACGCCCACTTATTGCCCACTTCCTCTAGATCACGCCCACTTATTGCCCACTTCCTCTAGATCACACCCACTTATTGCCCACTTCCTCTAGATCACGCCCACTTATTGCCCACTTCCTCTAGATCACGCCCACTTATTGCCCACTTCCTCTAGATCACGCCCACTTATTGCCCACTTCCTGTAGATCACGCCCACTTATTGCCCACTTCCTGTAGATCACGCCCACTTATTGCCCACTTCCTGTAGATCAGGCCCACTTATTGCCCACTTCCTGTAGATCAGGCCCACTTATTGCCCACTTCCTGTAGATCAGGCCCACTTATTGCCCACTTCCTGTAGATCACGCCCACTTATTGCCCACTTCCTGTAGATCAGGCCCACTTATTGCCCACTTCCTGTAGATCAGGCCCACTTATTGCCCACTTCCTGTAGATCACGCCCACTTATTGCCCACTTCCTGTAGATCACGCCCACTTATTGCCCACTTCCTCTAGATCACGCCCACTTATGGCCCACTTCCTCTAGATCACGCCCACTTATGAACCACTTCCTCAAATCACAGAGAGAGCAGCGCAGATGTAAAGTGATTATGAGGAGTTCAGACCCCAGTGAGTCACTGCTGTAGATTAGGTTGATAAGTCAGGAGCTCCTGAAAGTGGCTCAGACAGATTAAGACAGATTAAGGCGCGGTCGCTCTGCATAAATATGTCTTAGTCCAACAGGTAAAAACATTTTACTTTCATGCCCAGATCCTCCTGCTTCACCTGCAGGTGAGACTGTCAGCTGTACCAGTTTTCCGCCACCGGGAGCAGTACAGTAAACCCAGCCAGTGTGTGGTTATCCAGCTAGGAACCTGCCGGTGGTCTCAGGAACTAACTGCAGTTGCTCAGGCCTGCTGTAGTTCTCCTCTCAGTGTTTAACGGGGAACCTTTATGGTGTCCAGCTAAGCTTCTGACGGGATTAAAGCTCTATAGAGCTTTTTCTTTATGATTCAACACAACTTCTCCTAGTTTAAAATCACACTTCCTCCCAAACGGCTCAGTGTCCCTAAAACCAATGAACCAATAAACAAAAGGAAGCGTCATACGACTCTAGTGATCCTCTGAAGCCTCACAGAGGACAACAGCTTGGGTTCAGGCAGATGGAGACAAACAAACATGATGTGGACCTTTGCAGTGAGTCAGTTGCCCTGCAGCGGCTCACGTTCCTCCCAGACAGATTATCAAAGGTATTAGTTCAGATCCAAAGAGGTGAAAGGGCGCCTGAGGCGCTGCACAAACAGAATGGAAAACCTGAATGCCCGCCTGCTGCTGCTGCTCACATTAGACAGACTGAAGCCAAAGAACCAAATGATTAAAGTTCCTACAGAACAAACCGACCGATCAAAGACCGACAGTAAAGCCGCCGCTGGACGATCCGTAACCAAACACTGAACTCTAGTCCACAGAACTAGGGAAACCCGGTCCTACCGGATTCAACATCCAGGGAGTACTTGTCGATGGCCAGGTTCATGGTGTGGTAGGCTGTGTTAGCAAAGTCCTCCAGGATCAGGTAGATGATGTTGGTCACCTCTTGGGGAACTGGTTTACCAAAACGCATCCTGCTGTTTACCACAATGCTGCCGTTTCTGAAGTTGAGGATCTCCAGGTTTTGGAAGTTGTTCAGATTGGACTGGAGGTATGGAACAAGCTGTTTGGTGAAGAAAACAACAAGTTATTAAATGAAAATGTTCACTGGAAACTTCTTCTCTAACTTCTCACCAGTTGAAGGAACCGTTGCTCTAGAGTTTTATACTCAGATGAGCTTTTGTTGAAGAGGTCCATGGAGAAGGCCATGTTGGTCACCCTCAGGCTGAAGAAGACTGTCAGAGCTCTGCCGGGTCTGGCAGGTAGAAGGTCTGAGCCATGAGCTTCACTGGAGAAGCCACTGCTTTCCCCATCCGCCTCCCCAGTGCCGTACTGGAACACATCGATGCTGACATCAATGCTGGGCAGGTGTTGGAAAGGCTGGAGGTCCACCATAGAAGAAGTCTCATTGATTTTGGGCTGAGATGGAAGGACGGCGCCTACTTCTTCTCTGGAAGGTTCTACTGCCTCTCGAGAATATTCCTCTTCCTCCTGTAAAGATGTTGCTTCTCCAGAAGGTTCCGTCTCCCTAGAAAGTTCTGGTTTTCCCTCAGATGGTTCTTCCAGCCCTACTGGAGGATCAGTTCCTCTATGTGAAGATTCCTCCACTTTCTCCCCCTTCTGAGCTGCATCTCCTTGTTCCGCAGGCTCTACTTCTCCTCCAGAAGGTCCAACATCTCCTCTGGAAGGTTCTGTGTTTCTTCCTGAAGTTGTTTCTCCAAAATGTCCCAATTCTATTTCTGAAGGCAATATTTTTACTTCTGGAGGACCAAGTTCTCCTAAAGATTCTTCTTCTTCGCTCCCAAATCCTTCCATGGTTCCTGGTGAGGGTTTGACCTCAGCTCCCAGCGTCACCTCTTTAGGTCCAGAGGTGTCTCCTTCCGTTCCTGGAGTAGACTCTTCCACAGACGAAGGCGTCTCTTCAACGTCTCTTTGGTTAGATTCATCTTCATGGTTTTCTCTCCGTCTTAAAGAGTCTAGATCCTCCTGAGGTCGTTTTTCTCCATTAGAAGTTTCAGCTTTTTCTCTCAATGTTTCAGCTTTCATTTCTGAGGATTCTTTCTTGGTTTCAGCTCCATTCGGTTTGATGTGAACTTCTAGAGCGTGAGCCTCCTCCAGAGGTCCAGCTTTGTCTGTCAGAGGTTCTGTTTCAGCTTGTAACCCTCCAGAAGATTCTATTTCCTGATCCAAAGGTTTTACTAATTCTCCAATAGGTTCAGTTTTCTCTGCTTCCTCCCAGGTAGGTTCTGCTTTAGCAGCCAGAACGTCTTCTAGGGTTGTTCCCGGGTGTAGGTCTGGAGATGAAGGCCCCCCCCCAGAATCAGCTGCAGCTGTTGTTTTAATAAGCACACCCACTAATGTTGACTCTTCAGTGACCTCCTCCTGGTTTGGAAGCTGGTGGGGAAACAGATCTTCATCTTCTGGTACTGAATCAGACACTCGAGTGAAAGGAGACTCCCTCTCAGGTGAGATTACGCTGCTGGGCTTTGAGGCTGCAGCTGAACTTGGGATTAGGGTTGCTGAGGTTGCTGTGACGACAATGACTTCATCCACAACCAGGTCCTGGTCTAGGGTTTGGGTTGAAGGGACTTCAGGTTTTAGGTGAGCAGAGTCTAAACTCTGCTCACCTAAAATCTCCATCCCCTTTGGGTCCGATGCTTCAACCAGGACTTCCAGCTCTGCTGGTTTAGGAGTGACTTCCCTGACTGCTACTACTTGCTCTTCAACAGACGGTGCAGCTGCAGTTTGGCTCTCTGCTAAATCACCTTCAGTCTTCATGTCTGGAGTGACCTGGGTTGGTTCCAGGTCAACCATAAAATCCACCAAAGTCTCTGACTCTCTGTGGGTTTGCTCCACCTTTGCAGTGGACTGTGGATGCTGGATGGTAGAACCTGCAGGTTCAGGAGAAGCAGTGATGATTACTGAGAAGGTCTGTGGCTCCAGCAGAGAGGAATCCCCATGGAGACCAGATGCTTCCACTGTTTGCCCAGAAAGCTCTGCTGTCATGGTTTCCTGAGTTAAGGCTAAAGGAACCGGAGCTGTGGTCCAGCCCTGCGTCACCACAGCTTCCTTCAGAGAAGGTTTCTCTGTGGGTTTATTCAAAGCAGATTCTTCAGAGGTGGTCGCCGCTAAAACAGCAGTTTCCTGCGTTAGAAACAAATCAGCAGCTTCCGTGTTTGCTGGTTCCACAGCAGGTAAGTCATCGTCTGGATCCAGTTCCAAGTCTGGTGGCGGTAAAACTTCATGACTTCTTTCATAAGTGACATCGGACGCTAATGAAGCCTCCAAAGCCCAGAGGTAAGAATCCTGAGCGTCTCCTGAGAATCCAGACCCAGAGCCGTGGTCCAATGTGGGCGATTCAGCTAAAGGTGGCCTGCTGACTGCAGGGGGACCTTCTGGAGCAACCGTCTGGTCTTCCAGCTGCTGGTCATCTGCAGCGTGGGGGGGGGTGGTGAGGAGGAATCCTTCATCTTCAATGTTTCCAGTATCTGTAAAGCAGACAAACATGGAATCCATCAACTTCATATTCAGGCCTCTATGAGCTGTAAAGACCTGAATTTGATCTACGCAAAACATGGCGGCTCTGCCCCTTCTCTAGATCTATAGATCTAGACATGCTGTTCCCACCTTCTACAGACTCACTGAATTTAGTCACTGGCTCCAGGTGGACTGTCTTCTCCTGGACTCCGGCGGTCTGTGGAGGGGTGGTGCTTTCATCCAATAAGAAGACGTCATTTTCACTGAGCAGCGCAGGCTGTGGACCTTTCCACTGGTCCAAGGCGTCCAACAAGAAGTCTTCCTTCTTCAGGAAAACTTCACTGGACTCTGCCTCATGGGTGGGAGCATCGGGAGGCTTCTCTGCAGCCAGGATGTTATCCTGAAAAGATTCAGCTTCTGTAACCTGAGTTCATCGTCACCATAGTTCAATATGTTCTACTCACCATGTTCTCATAGGAATCCGCTGGTTTGCTGGTAGGTTTCTCAGCCGGCGCCACGTTCCCTGCTTCAGAGACACAATCATTTCGCATTGAGGAAAGAAGCAAAGACAAAGCTGTGAAATATTGACCAAAGAGCCACAGCACCATTTCCCAGGAAGTCCAAGCTGCTGTTGGTTAGGAAGTTGTCTTTGTGCAGCGCCTCTGTGATGAAGTTACGGAAATCTGTGATGGTGTAGATGACGGTGGGCTGCTCCGCAGCTCCCACATAGTTCCTCTCCACCAGGTTGTTCTGCAGCGTGATGAAGTCTCGCGTGTCGCTTGAGATCCCGTCACTGTCCAGTTCCACCTCCAAAATAACAGCATAGTGCACCTGGACCACCAGACCTCTGAGGGGAGGCGAGGACACAAAGCATCCAACCAATCAGAACTTAGGAAGACAAAATGCTTCATGTGGAATTAAAGTTAGGAGAAAGCTGGACGTGCATCAATCAGCATTTCTGGACGTGCAGACAGGAAAGCAACTAGTTAGCTGGTTAGTCAGTCCTACCTTACATTACAAACTTTGCCTCCTCACTCACCAGTGCATACATGGAACTGCCCCGGCTTACCTCAAGGAACTCCTCACACCTCACACCGCCTCCAGAACCCTCCGCTCCACCACCTCCACCCACCGACTGCACCAGCCAAGAGTCAAGCTTTGCACAATGGGAGATAGGGCCTTCCAGGCAGTTGCCCCACAACTCTGGAATGGCCTCCCAGAGTCCCTTAGGGTCCCACAGAGTGTGGAGGCGTTCAAGAAAGGCCTCAAGACATTTTTATTTAAAAAAGCCTTTGAACATTAGTTAGTACTTTATCTGTGTGGTTTTATGGTTATTTTACTGTTTTGTTTTTACTACGCATGTTATTTTATTGTAATGTCTCATTTTAACTATGTATACTGTTTTTATTGTACGGTTTTGTTTTAACTATGAATTTTGTAGCACTTTGAGATTTTTTTTTAAATGTAAAGTGCAATACAAATAAAATGTATTATTATTATTATTACCTGGTCAGAATGAAACACTGAAGGAATGATGGCTGCACGTCCTCTGTCCGACCCTCTGACATGTCCTCTGTCCGATCCTCTGACATGTCCTCTATCAGACTCTCTGACACGTCCTCTATCAGACTCTCTGACATGTCCTCTATCAGACTCTCTGACACGTCCTCTATCAGACTCTCTGACATGTCCTCTATCAGACTCTCTGACATGTCCTCTATCAGACTCTCTGACACGTCCTCTGTCCGACCCTCTGACATGTCCTCTATCAGACTCTCTGACATGTCCTCTATCAGACTCTCTGACATGTCCTCTATCAGACTCTCTGACATGTCCTCTATCAGACTCTCTGACACGTCCTCTATCAGACTCTCTGACACGTCCTCTATCAGACTCTCTGACACGTCCTCTATCAGACTCTCTGACACGTCCTCTGTCCGACCCTCTGACACGTCCTCTATCAGACTCTCTGACATGTCCTCTATCAGACTCTCTGACACGTCCTCTGTCCGACCCTCTGACATGTCCTCTATCAGACTCTCTGACATGTCCTCTATCAGACTCTCTGACACGTCCTCTATCAGACTCTCTGACACGTCCTCTGTCCGACCCTCTGACACGTCCTCTATCAGACTCTCTGACATGTCCTCTATCAGACTCTGACATGTCCTCTATCAGACTCTGACATGTCCTCTATCAGACACTCTGACATGTCCTCTGTCAGACTCTGACATGTCCTCTATCAGACTCTCTGACACGTCCTCTATCAGACACTCTGACATGTCCTCTATCAGACTCTGACATGTCCTCTATCAGACACTCTGACATGTCCTCTATCAGACTCTCTGACATGTCCTCTATCAGACTCTGACATGTCCTCTATCAGACTCTCTGACACATCCTCTATCAGACACTCTGACATGTCCTCTATCAGACTCTCTGACACGTCCTCTATCAGACTCTCTGACATGTCCTCTATCAGACACTCTGACATGTCCTCTATCAGACACTCTGACATGTCCTCTATCAGACTCTGACATGTCCTCTATCAGACACTCTGACATGTCCTCTATCAGACTCTCTGACATGTCCTCTATCAGACTCTGACATGTCCTCTATCAGACACTCTGACATGTCCTCTATCAGACTCTGACATGTCCTCTATCAGACTCTCTGACATGTCCTCTATCAGACTCTGACATGTCCTCTATCAGACTCTGACATGTCCTCTGTCAGACACTCTGACATGTCCTCTGTCAGACTCTCTGACATGTCCTCTATCAGACTCTGACATGTCCTCTGTCAGACACTCTGACATGTCCTCTGTCAGACACTCTGACATGTCCTCTATCAGACTCTCTGATCTCAGCCTATGTTCTTATCTTAAAACTGTTCCTTTTACATGTTTTGTTATTGAATATGAAGAGAAGTTAAAGAAAGCCTGGTGACCTCATGGAAGGTCTGTAAAGCGGTTTGAAGGAGCAGCGAGTTTGTTAAAAAGGCTTTAAGGTAATCCTGCAACAGCTGCAGGTGGCCGCCGGCCGACTTATCCCACTTAAGAGCTGATCGACCATCAATAAGGACATTAAGCAGAAGAAGAGCAGCAGAGAGGTTATTTAATACGACAGGTGGGAGACGGATGTCCAACATTCAGTAAACCAGAACTGTGATCCCTGGGGAACAATGGTGGCACAAGGGTTAGGCATGCAACCCATGTACACAGGTCTAAGTCCTGGTTGCAGATGTCTCCTGTTTAAGTCCTGAACTTCTCTTTAACCCCTTTTCTGTTTGCTTTTCAGATTAAAACACTAGTTCCTAGAAAGGAAACAACTCTAATCCCAGTAACATCGGATCAGTTTTCTGCAAACACCAAAGGATCAGAGCAGCTCCATGTTGATGAGGAGCTTCAAGGACATTTCAGAAGTCTTGTAGTTTCCTCTATCTGAGTCTAGTTCCAGGCTGAACCATCTCCTTGGTGGTTTATGCTTTCACAGCCAGCTGGAATCATTAATGCTCAGCCTGGAAGCCTAGTGAGACGTTGGGGTAGGCTGCATCTAATCCTTGTGCAGATGTGAAAACAGTCCCAGAAAGTAGGGAGCCTCAGCGGCTGCAGGGTTACAGCTCAGACTACCCCAGCTGAGCTGAACAGTGAAAAAGGAATTTAATAAAAGCAGAAACTTACCGCTCAAGGTCCTTCTGAGGCCTGGAAAAGCAAACAAAACAAATTATTGACCATCAGAAACCAGACAAACACTCACAATGTGGAGCATTTCAGGTTAGTTATTTCTAAGGTCAGTTTGCTTTAAGATCCATAGTTTGCCATTTAAGCAAAGATGGTCTCTGAAGACGTCTAACAGATCAGTTGGTATCCAAGTCAATGAAACAGTACCTGAAGTCAATAATGGCCACGTTCTTGAAGCCTGGCACCCCCCCAAAGGCATCTTCAACCTGTCATAATAAAGGAGAGAGCCGTTTGAATGCAGGTCTCTACAGTTGACTGTCCTTTCAGCAGAAGGGTGGTCAATTATGGGAGAAACTATCTTGGTCGACTCATTCGGGTCACGTCTGTCACTTTAGGGTCTAATGTGCGTTGAGGCATTTTTTTTTTTGGTGAACTGGTACAAAGTAATTTACAATGAATCGTTTGTGATTCACAGACTAAAGTAAAGATGCCTTTAATCTATCTGGTCATCCAGGAGGAGAGAATGAGACTGATAACCCTGAACCAGTCTAACCAGATCATCTGTGTCTCAGTAAAGTGACCTGAGACTTGCTTCAGAAATTAACTCTACTTAGTCAATTTCTTCTATTCAATGACTACCAGGATATTTGTCTCGACATACACTATATTGCCAAAAGTATTTGCTCACCTGCCTTGACTCACATATGAGCTTAAGTGACATCCCGTTCCTAATCCATAGGGTTCAATATGACGTCGGTTCACCCTTTGCAGCTAGAACAGCTTCAACTCTTCTGGGAAGGCTGTCCACAAGGTTTAGGAGTGTGTTTATGGGAATTTTTGACCATTCTTCCAGAAGCGCATTTGTGAGGTCGCACACTGATGTTGGACGAGAAGGCCTGGCTCTCAGTCTCCGCTCTAATTCATCCCAAAGGTGTTCTATCGGGTTGAGGTCAGGACTCTGTGCAGGCCAGTCAAGTTCATCCACACCAGACTCTGTCATCCATGTCTTTATGGACCTTGCTTTGTGCACTGGTGCACAGTCATGTTGGAAGAGGAAGGGGCCAGCTCCAAACTGTTCCCACAAAGTTGGGAGCATGGAATTGTCCAAAATGTCTTGGTATGCTGAAGCATTCAGAGTTCCTTTCACTGGAACTAAGGGGCCAAGCCCAGCTCCTGAAAAACAACCCCACACCATAATCCCCCCTCCACCAAACTTTACACTTGGCACAATGCAGTCAGACAAGTACCGTTCTCCTGGCAACCGCCAAACCCAGACCCGTCCATCAGATTGCCAGATGGAGAAGCGCGATTCGTCACTCCAGAGAACGCGTCTCCACTGCTCTAGAGTCCAGTGGCGGCGTGCTTTACACCACCGCATCCGACGCTTTGCATTGCACTTGGTGATGTATGGCTTGGATGCAGCTGCTCGCCCATGGAAACCCATTCCATGAAGCTCTCTGCGCACTGTTCTTGAGCTACATGAAGTTTGGAGGTCTGTAGTGATTGACTCTGCAGAAAGTTGGCGACCTCTTCGCACTATGCGCGTCAGCATCCGCTGACCCCGCTCCGTCAGTTTACGTGGCCTACCACTTCGTGGCTGAGTTGCTGTCGTTCCCAAACACTTCCATTTTCTTATAATACAGCTGACAGTTGACTGTGGAATATTTAGGAGCGAGGAAATTTCACGACTGGATTTGTTGCACAGGTGGCATCCTATCACAGTTCCCCGCTGGAATTCACTGAGCTCCTGAGAGCGACCCATTCTTTCACAAATGTTTGTAAAAACAGTCTGCATGCCTAGGTGCTTGAATTTATACACCTGTGGCCATGGAAGTGATTGGAACACCTGATTCCAATAATTTGGATGGGTGAGCAAATACTTTTGGCAATATAGTGTATCTGGACAAAAGCAGGAGATGAGAATCTGTGTGAAAGAAGGTAAAGTGAAGCAAAGACCTTCTGAGTAAACTGGGTCAAACCTGATGCACAAATCCTTCATTAAAAATTAGAAACAGGTTTTGGGGTCTGTGGCCCGTGGCTGCCCTCCACTTCTTCTGCTGATTCTATTAGCAAAGTTATCCACTTCTATTCCCTCATTAAAGAGCCTGACCCTGACTTCCAAACCATAAACTGGTTTCCCACGTCACTGAAATGGATCAGAGCCCAAAAACCTCCCAGTGGAGCGAGAACACACCGGTGCTCTGCTCTGCTTTCCTGGCAGCGCTGCTTTTTCCATCAGCTCGAGGTGAGTCATCACTCGTATACATCTGATCCCTGCTGCAGCCACTGCGGCTCGTACGGCTGCACTAGTGAAGTCCACAACAAACTGAGCTGTAAAGCATGAAGATGCTTGAAGCGTGAAACTCAGACGAGGCTTTTAAACCGGAGCCAAATCCTTGACTCTGCATTTTAAGGGAAAACCACAAGCGAGTCTGTTCTGAACTCACTGAGTGTTGTGGATGTCAGGGAGAGGAATAAAGATAAGAGGAAGCAGTGATTCAAACGATAACAAGTCAAGGCAAACTGGACCAATCATCTTCATCAGGCGTTGATATCAACAGTTTAAAGTCCTGAAACCAGCAGGAGGAAACAGGGCTGTGGCTACAGACATGAGTCTGTGGATGCTCCACGGATTTATAACTGGATGGTCCCACTTTGGATGGTGCAGCTCTTCTTTCTAGGAATCTGGCCACATTTATTAGTCCTCCAAAACCCTGACCACCCAGGGTGCAGACCAGGAAGCAGAGTCCTAGTTTAACAGACCTCTCTGCAGCTTCTCTACTGTTACCCACTCTTTACTCCATCCAGACAGTGTCTAATTAAAGTTAAAAGAACTCCAAATTTGGGAGAAAATTTAAACAATTAAATGTGTTCTTTTAACATAAGATCTCTTTCCTCTAAAAGTCTGCTAAATAATGACTTGATTTGTGATAATCTTTGATTGATTTATGTTTCATTGATTTATGTTGCCTTACAGAAACCTGGCTGCAGCAAGATGATTATGTGAGCATTAATGAGGCAACTCCTTCAAACTATTTAAATTTTATTATAAAGTATGTCTGATTCTGAGTTCACATCCCCAGAAGTTCTGGGTGAGGAGGAGGAGGAGCAACAATCTTCCAGTCTGACTTACTGATTACTCCCAAAACAGTTAATACCTACAACTCTTTTGAACATTTAACCCTTAATTTCCCTGATCCAAATTTCAAGGCAAGAAAACCTCTTCTTTTTGTAACTTTGTATCGTCCACCAGGTCCTTACTCTGAATTTTTAGATGAGTTTTCAGAGTTCCTTTCTGATTTGGTATTAAATACTGACAGGGTCATCATAGTGGGAGATTTTAACATCCATGCTGACATTGAAGGCGATAGCTTAAGAGCAGCCTTTAATGCTATCTTAGACACTATTGGCTTTGTTCAAAATGTGAATAGTCCCACACATTCTCATCTTCATACTTTGGATCTTGTGCTGACATACGGCATAGAATGTGAAGAAATAACAGTATTTCCTCACAACCCTGTCCTCTCTGACCACTTTCTAATAACCTTCAGGTTTACTTTAACAGAGTTCTCCTCCCCCAAAAGAAAGTTCAATTTTAGTAGATCATTATCAAATAGAGCAGTTATACATTTTAAAGAATCTGCTTCACTTTCTCTCTCCTCTGTGTCACTGAGCAGTGCTGCAGAGTGCAAAAGCTTAGCTTATTCCCCTTCACAGGTTGATGATTTTGTTGATGGGGTTGCTAGTTCTCTGCGTACTGCCTTAGACAACGCAGCTCCTTTGAAAATGAAAAACATTGAAAATATAAAGCTTGCTCCTTGGTTTAATGCAGAGCTGCGTACTTTGAAGCAAAATGCTAGGAAACCGGAGAGAAAATATCGCTCCACAGGCCTGCGGGAGTCCTTCCTAGTCTGGAAAAATAGTTTACTGCTGTATAAGAGGACCCTTTGTAAAGCAAGAGCAGCATACTTCTCCTCATTAATAGAGGAGAATAAGAATAATCCTAGATTTCTTTTTAATACAGTTGCCAAACTCACCCAGAGCCATAGCTCTGTTGAACCGTCCATTCCACCTGCTCTTAGCAGGAATTATTTTATGGGATTCTTTATAAATAAGATTGATCTTATTAAAAATAAGATCATTAGCACTCCTCTATCCGCGATTGTACCTGAGGTAGTCATGGAATCTGAACCGGGTTTAGACTGCTTTGATCCAGTTGAACTTTCTGAATTAGCAAAATTATTGTCTTCATCTAAGCCTTCAACTTGTATGTTAGATCCAGTTCCAACCAGGTTATTTAAGGAGGTATTCCCTTTGATCTCCTCCTCCATTCTAGATGTGATTAATCCATCTCTGTTACAGGGATATGTACCAAAGGCTTTTAAGGTTGCTGGAATTAAACCTCTGCTTAAGAAACCGTCTCTTGACCCAGATGACTTGGTCAATTATAGACCTATATCCAATCTTCCTTTCTGATCTAAAATTCTTGAGAAAGTAGTTGCCAAACAAGTTTGCGATCACTTCCACCATAATGAACTTTTTGAAGAGTTTCAGTCTGACTTTCACCAGCTGGCTCATCATAGCACTGAAACAGCTCTGGTGAAAGTCACTAATGATATTCTCATGGCCTCAGATAATGGACTTGTATCTGTGCTCGTCCTGTTGGATCTCAGTGCTGCATTTGATCCAGTTGATCATAATATTCTTTTAGAAAGACTTGAATATTTTGTTGAAATTAAAGGAACAGCTCTAGACTGGTTTAAATCTGATCTATCTGATCGATTTCAGTTTGTTCATGTTAATGATAGATCTTCAACACGCTCAAAGGTTACCTGTGGAGTACCACAGGGATCAGTGCTAGGACCAATTCTCTTTACTTTATACATGCTCCCAATCGGTAGAGTTATTAGACAGCATGGGATTAATTTCCACTGTTATGCTGATGATACCCAGCTATATCTGTCTATAATCCAGATGAAGCTAACCCATTACATAGATTACAGGCATGTCTGAAGACAGAAAAACCTGGATGACTCTTAACTTTCTGCTTCTGAATGCAGACAAAACAGAAGTTATAGTCTTTGGACCAGAGTCTCTGAAAAAGAAGCTGATTAGTCAGTCACTTCATTTGGATGGGATTAAACTGATTTCAGATAATAAAGTAAAAAATCTTGGTGTTGTTTTTGATTAGGACCTGTCATTTAAATCCCAGATCAAAGAGGTTTCTAGAATTTCCTTCTTTCATCTGAGGAATATTGCAAAAATGAGCAATCTCCTGTCCAGGGGTGATGCTGAGAAACTAGTCCATGCATTTGTTACTTCAAGGCTGGACTATTGTAATTCTTTACTATCAGGAAGTCCACAAACTGTAGTTAAAAGCCTTCAGCTGATCCAAAATGCTGCAGCAAGAGTTCTGATGAAAATGAAAAAGAGAGATCATATCTCTCCTATCCTGGCTTCTCTTCATTGGCTTCCTGTTAAATCCAGAATAGAATTTAAAATCCTCCTTCTCAGATATAAAGCCTTAAATGGCCAAGCTCCATCTCATATCAGAGATGAAAACATGAAAACTGGCTCAGAGCTCGTTTGATTAACTGTTTCTTTTCCAGACAGGAAAACCTGTGGAGAATCTTTCTCATAATGGGCCTGAAGTGTAAAGATGGAAGTATGTCCAACTGAAACCACCATATCCACAACAACCCCTAACTGAAGAGCTCCAGATGCTCTTTGGTTGACGCTCACCTTTCGCGTGAACTGTCTGGCCAGCTGTTGGTACTCGAAGCTGCTTGGGTCTCTCAGAGCATTGTTGTAGGTTTCTCCTTTTAGCTTGATGCGTAGCTCAACCATATGGTCCCTTAGAGTCTGCGAGGGTCGAAACAGTGTCTCAACTATCTCATTGCCCATCTAAGAATAAAAAAGATACAAAAATATTCACCTGATGATGACTTAAACACATGTTCTAATTAATCACTGGTTCTATATGTGCTCACCAAGTTCTCCTCATGTTCTCCTGTGAAACCATTATTATTCAGTAAGTTGTTTTCTTCTTCATAGGGTTGGCCTGCTAGATCCAGGAAGTTTCCATTGTTGGTTTCTACTGCATACTTCATGGTGAACCCCAGAGGGGCCTTCTCTGCAGGTCCTATTGTTGATGATCCGGGTGTAGCTACCTCTTCCACATCTGTTTCACCAGTAGAACCAGGATGGGCCTCTGAAAAAACCTCTCTGTCTCCAGTGATAGCTGGTAGGAGAACTATCAGGGTACGGTTCTCCGCTGGTAGAACCTTTTCCTCGAAGGGAAGTTCTTTTGGGAAGACAGTCTTTAGAGACCATGTGTCTGATGTTGTTCCTTGAAGAACTTGGGTCATAACTTCATGAGATGTTTCACTGGGATCTTCAACTTTAGGAACATGTTCTGTCACTTTGATGGCAGGTTCAACCACATGTGAAATTGTTGCTTTGTTGGTCTCAGTTTGAATGTCAACTTTAGGACCCTGTGGGGATCCAGATGGTACATCAGTTCTGTCCAACTCAGACACTTGCAGAACTTTTGTAGTCTCTTCAGAACCTTCAGCAGACGGCAGTACTAGCACCTCCTCTGGAATGTTTGATGTTGTTCCCTCTTTTTCCTCTGTTACTTTATACGATATCTCTGAGGTTATATCCTCCGTGTGCTTGAACTGTTCCTCTGCTGATGTTTCTTCTACTTTATCTGAAAATGTTGGACGAACTCCAGCTTTATCTTCATCGGGTCTCAAATACGGTTTGGTTTCTACCGGTCCTTCTACAGCTTCCTCTGGAGCCGGTTGTCCTGTGGGTTCTAGTTTCCTTTTAGGATGCTCCATAAGATCTGCTTCTCCTGTTGGATCGACTTTTGTTTCTTTGTCTTTGAATTCTTTTACTGGATCTCTAGAGGTTTGCATTCCAGGTGAAGGTTCTTCTTGAGGTTTTTGATCTTTACTTGACTCCGGTTTTGGTGGCGATTCTGTGATAGGTTCTTCATTATAGCCTAATCCTATGGGAGGCTCTAATACTGTAGTTGGTTCTTCTGTGGTTTTAGGTTCCTGCATAAATTCTCTTATGGGCTGTGGTTCTTTTAATGAATCTTCAGTATGATCTGTAGTATCAGTTGATACATTTTGGGCCTCTGGTACCAGTACAGACTGCAAGGTGGTTTCTGGAGTTTTTTTGACTACTTCTTCAAGTTTTACTTTGTGCAGAGATTCACCAGTGGTCTCGGTCAGGAGGCCTGGTTCTCTTGTAGCTTCTGCTGAAGTTGGTTCCGGGCGTTCCATTGGCTGATCTGGTTTAATGGGTAAACTGGTTTCATGTGTTGATTGTGGAATGTGCTCCTCTTCTGGACCATTGTTTTCTAACCTCAAAGTAGCTTGTGTTGGTTCCTCAAATGCTCCAGGTTGTTGTTTAACAGTCTCTGCCTCCTGACCAGACTCTTTGGCTGGTTGTTCTTCTTTAGTGGTCTCAGTGAAGGAATCGGCTGACAATGCTGGATCTCTTGAGGGTTGATGTATTTGGTCTTTGGTTGCTTGTTCTGTGGGTTTAACAGCTGGTTGTGTTTCTTGTGTTGATTCCTTATTTTGTTCAGGTTCTTTGCCCGGTTTCTCTGTGGAATGAGGTTCCCACACAGGCCCTGGTTCTGCTTCTAAACCTTCAATTTCTGACACAACCTCTTTCTCCTGATATATAACTTGATTTGTTTCTTGTGGTGGTTCTATGGAGGGTTCCAGAACTTCTGTTGGTTGGTCTGTCGGTTCTGATGATATGGCTTCATATGTTCTTGCAGTGGTTTTGCTTTTTTCAGCCATTTTGGTTTCTTGCGATGGTTTAATGTTTGGTTCCGTTTCTTGTGTTACTTCTTCGGTGGTATTTATTTCTTCATTCGGTTTCTTGGTTGGTTCTGGTTCTTTTTCTGGATCTCCTTCTCTTTGCTTTACTTCTGCTTCTTTAACTGGACTTAGGACCGTACTTATTTCTTGTGACGGTTTTGTTGTAAGCTCTGGAACATGTTCTGGTTGTGCCGTCAGTTCTGTTGATTTTGCTTCAGCTGTTTTCTGTGTGGTTTGTATTTTTAGAGTTGACTCTGTTTCTTTTGCTGGTCTTTTGCTTGGTTCTGCCTCTTGTGCCATGCCCATACCAGGGTTTAACTCTAGGACTGATTCGCTAGAGGCTTCAGGTTCTTGTGTTGGATCTCCAGAAGGTTTGGTTCTTTCTATGTTAATAACTTCAGCATCTCCTACAGTCTTTCTCATTGGTTCTGACGGCTTTTCAGTGAGTTCTGTTGAAGATTCTGCCGTTACTGGAGTTTCTAACTTTAGTTCAGTTTTGTGTGCCGGTTTCTCAACTTTAGAATCACCTTCTGGTTCCTTTTTAAGTTCAGTGTTTTCTGCAATGTCTGGATCATTTGCATCAGTTTCCAGACCTTCTCCTGCCAGTACAGCTTCTCCTACAGGTTCTGGTTTATGTACAGTTTTGTCTGTATGATCTGGTTCTTCTGTAATCTGATGTTGCTCCATGGGCTCTCTGTCTGTTTTAGTTGTAAAGCCATCTGGAGCAGAACCTCCTGTCGGTTTAATTATTGCATCATCTGTTTCTACAACAACTTTCTCTGATTTCTCTCCAACGAATGTCTCCAATGGCTCCAACAGCTCTTCTGTGAAGTCCTGTGTATCTTCTGCCTTGTCTGGTTTGATTGTGGCTTCTTCTGTCTGAACAATCTCATTTTCAGCCTTAGCTCCCTCTTCAACTTCCTCATCTTCTGTAATCATGGCTGTATCTTCTTTTTTGACCTCGACATCTATCATCTCCCCCAGCTTTGCTGCTGGAACAAGAGCAACACTTTCTGTTGTAGTTACCTCAGTTGTCATTGTCCATGTTGTTGGCACTTCTTGAAAAGCACCCTTAACGTTTCCTTCTTTTAAAGTAAGGAGAGGTTTGCTTGTCATCTCTATAATTTCTCGATTTTCAGTGATCCTCTTGCTGATAGTTACCAGGATGGGAGACTGAGAAGAAACATTTGTCTTTGATTCCTGCTCTGAACGTTCACTGATGTTAATTTCTGTTCCTTCTTCAGGTTCCAACATCAGAAACACAGTTGGTGTTGTCTCCATGATGACCTTTGTTTCACCTAAGCTAACATCTTCTGCTGCCTTTGAAGGATCTTCCTGGGCTGTGTCCTCCTCTACAAGAATATCCGTTTCTGGTCCAAGAGCTACAGCGTCAACACTGGGCTCTTGCATGACTTTAGTGGCTTTCTCTGCAGGCGTCAAAGTCCCTCCAGGAATAGTATCTAAATAGTTATCAAGAATTTTCTCCACTGTGGGTCTGAGAACTTGCATCGCAGTCATTTCAGTGATGCCTTCTGTACCAACATCTTCGACCACCACAGCAGTCACATTTGGATGATGCCCTGCTTCCATCAGAGTGAAGGTTTCTGCAGCAGATGGCATGGTGGGCTTTGGACTAATCAATGCTGTTGGCCCCTTTGTTGGTGGTTCATCATCCTGTAGACTGATTACCTGCTTGCTGCTTGGGTCTTTAGTAATACTTCCAATAACCTGGTGATATTCCCCAAGCTTCCCGTCTTCTATTACGGTGCCTGAACCAGCGGCAACCTCCTGATTGAATATGTCAAATAGTTGGTTTGTAGAAGAGGGAAAAACTTCTGTGGTCATCTCAACAATCTCCTCTGAAGTGACTCCAACATTTGAAGCATTGTCGTAGTTGATGACCAGACTTGGTGAAGTAATGCTGCCTACAGTTTCCTGGATATCAGAGTCTTCTGGCACAGTGTCAGCAGCAGGGTCAGAGGTTAAATCCACAGGATTCCCAGAGAGTGAATTCACTGCAGTGTCTTTATGTGAAGCTTCAATTACAGAGAGTGGTGGAGTCCAAGAGGTGACTTCAAAGCCAGGAGAAAGCTCCTCTTGAAGGACTGTAATAGGCTGTGATCCAATGATAACACTGTTGTCTCCTGCAAAAAGGTATTAGAGGAAAGGATTAAAGAAAATCAAGTCTGTCTCCAGCTCAGTCTGACGTGAGGGACAGGACCAATAAACAAAGACATGTCTGCTCTGAATGAAAGTCAGTACATGTGGTTCAGCTGAGTTAGATGGGAACGGCTAAAGCTTAATGTTAGCTTACATTCTGCTCTGTGAGCAGCTGGATGTACAGAAGGCCACCATGTTCTTCACTCAGTAAGACGGTTAAAAGATTCCAAAACTACATTTCTATTGTTGTTAAAAGAAGCCTAAAATAAACTCTGTATTTTCTAATTGTTCTAAAGGTTTAAAGTTCAGTGATTGTTCCTGACACTTCCCAATGATGTTAGCTAACAAGGTTATCTGCTATCTTAGCCCTCCTGGACATCTGCCATGTTTCCCACTAAACAAAGCAATGTCTACATTGTTTCTTCAGCTCCTCTAGACTACGATGTTAGGCTGTGCAACACTGAATTTGGAGATTTTATTTAGACCTGTTTCTCCAAGTGTTTCAGGTCTTACTGTCTACATTCTGTCTGATATGGTGGTCTTTGCTGGGGTGGAGGGGAGCAGGGGCTGCTGATCTTCTAAGTCAGGCTGGTCCACATGTCCCTGTCTGCATCCATGGAGCAGGCTGCTGCTTGTAAATAGGCTTATAGATCTATTCTGAGCGCGGCGTGTGATGGGAATCAGCCCTCCTTCACAAAGACTGCCTGGACTAAAAGGTGATGCCCCTGACAACACCACCAGAACCCCAACTGAACACCAGGTCACAAGCTTACCTTCAGGTGGGATGGGAGGTTAAGACAGGCTTACCAAGGGGTCAACAAAAGGTAACTAAGCTCTGCGTACGTCCAGCTTTTCCATGAAGATGAAGATTTCGCCTAAAACTCATTAACTCTGGTTTGAAGGTTACTGCAGCACCGAGTTAAAGGTGAGAGGTGTTCAGGACAGGCTTAGATGGATAGTTCCAGAATTCTGTTTCAAGCTCAGTGTCCATCATCATCATCATCATCATAAACCCGATATAAAAGTCCTCTTAAGCCTTTGGGCCGAACTTATCTTCAGAGGCTCATGTTGAGAAAATGGACCAAGACCAGATGCCTTCAGGTTCTGTCCAGGTGCTGAACCTTGGCTCTTCTTTAATGAAATACCGTTTTATTGTCTCGCAGGTATTGGTGTTCATTGCATTTTTTATGGAGGTTCAAAGAAAGTCTGCATATCTTGGCTCCTTGCTCTGCGTCTACGTAAAAGTTCAGGTTGATAAGCAGTTCAGTGGGATGCTGTTCGCTCTCTATGATGACTATACAGCTGCCGCCTTTGGTTTAACAATCTTTGTCTCCTAAGTATTTGTCCATTAATAGATTTCTCTGAAACTAGAGAAGTACCAAAGCATCTCCTACCTGGTAGAGAGTCCACTGCAGGTTCTTCGGTCTGGATAGATGGTTCAGATCTGCAGCCCAAACAGAAAACAAAACAATGTTTAAACAAACCAGACCTGAACTTCAGACAGACCACAGCTCAGAAAGAGTAGGTCATCATTCATCGATTCACATCACCTCAGAATTAAAATCATGAAATCACTTCATTAGTTCAGATCAAAGATAACAAATCTGGATTTCTAATGTGTAGGTCCGATGGTCCCTCTAGTTTCCAGGTGACATGGTACTACTAGTAAAGGTGGGATATATTTAAAGGACAAAGGTGTCCGAGGGACAAAGGAGTCTGAGGGACAAAAGAATCTGAGGGACAAAGGAGTCTGAGGGGCAAAGGGGTCTGAGGGACAAATGAGTCCGAGGGGCAAAGGGGTCTGAGGGGCAAAGGGGTCTGAGGGGCAAAGGAGTCTGAGGGAAAAAGGAGCCTGAGGGACAAAGGTGTCTGAGGGGCAAAGGGGTCTGAGAGACAAAGGAGTCTGATGGAAAAAGGAGCCTGAGGGACAAAGGGGTCTGAGGGGCAAAGGGGTCTGAGGGACAAAGGAGTCTGAGGGAAAAAGGAGCCTGAGGGACAAAGGGGTCTGAGGGGCAAAGGGGTCTGAGGGACAAAGGAGTCTGAGGGGCAAAGGAGCCTGAGGGACAAAGGAGTCTGAGGGGCAAAGGAGCCTGAGGGACAAAGGAGTCTGAGGGACAAAGGGGTCTGAGGGACAAATGAGTCCGAGGGGCAAAGGGGTCTGAGGGACAAATGAGTCCGAGGGGCAAAGGGGTCCGAGGGGCAAAGGGGTCCGAGGGGCAAAGGGGTGTGAGGGGCAAAGGAGTCTGAGGGAAAAAGGAGCCTGAGGGACAAAGGAGCCTGAGGGACAAAGGGGTCTGAGGGGCAAAGGAGCCTGAGGGACAAAGGAGTCTGAGGGGCAAAGGAGCCTGAGGGACAAAGGAGTCTGAGGGACAAAGGAGTTTGACAAAACGAGGAGTCTAAGGGACAAAGGACATTGAACCCTCAAACAATACTGGCTGATAAAGGAACGTTTTATTTATTTATTTTAAACTCCAACATTTTGTTTTAAGCTCAGCAAACATCAAACTACTAATAATCTACAGGCCCCGTCTCTGAAACAGGAGTCAAACACTCATCTTGTCGTCTCCGTCCCTCAGTTTTATGGGGGCCGGCCATGTTTGCAAAGCCAATGGTTGTGAAGCAAAGCTTTGGACCTAAAAGGCAGAAAGCATCTTTCTTCTGGTGGATTAGAGGGAGCAGCAGCAGGGAAGCGCTTCTCTGAGCGGGCTCAAGTTCAGAACATCCTCCTCTCCTGTTTCTACTGCGCGGTTAAAGGCCTTCAGGTCAGTCTGCTGGTTCAGGTTCTTCGTCAGAATTTGGCTCTAATCAAGCTCAGATAGGAGGCGGTTCTCATATCTCTCCCTGAGTCTAGACCTGCTTTAGAAGAATGATTTTGATTGGCTGTCTAATCTGCATAGGTCAGCTTGGGTTCATCACTCATTGGTCGATCAGCAATGATGAAGACTATTCTGAGGTTCCTCAGCAGATTGTGGCTTTAGGCAGGATGGGTTAGGGTTGCTTTGATCTCCTAAACCAAGAATCTAAAACCTCAGGTGATTCCAGAACCTCGTTGATCCACAGACAGGGTCAGAACCCTGGTTCTGTATCAACCCGGCTCAGTTTCACAAACACACATGGTCTCCTTTTCTATGCTGGAGGCTGACAGACTGTCTCTGGGTTACAGGTCATTATGTCCACAGTCCGACTGGTCAGAACCTAAGAGAACCCTGGACCAGGCTGTCAGACCAGCCTCTCTTTGAAGACAGAAACTCCTGATGATTTTACTCAGATTGAAACATCTGCCTGATTTCTTTGTTTTGTGTCTTTCTTTGGACTGAACTTCTAGCCAAACAGAACCAGGACAGGAGGACTTCCTGCTTAAAAAGACCCCGGCCTTCCCCTGATGAAGGGCTGCTGATGGTCCAACCCTACCTGCACGGTGGCGGAGAGCCTGGAGGGGCGGACTCACTGTGACAGACCATGAAACACAGCACAGGGTCAACACACAGACACCACACTGATCGTCATTAGGTCCAAACTAATCCCAACAATAATCCACCTCCAGTAGCCAGAGGACAATCCAGGGACATAAGAAATGATTCTGCTTTAAATGACCAAACTAAAAATAAACAAACAGCAGGAAACCTTTGAGCTTTCTGGGATCTGGGTTTGGTTCCAGCAATATTTACTGACCTGTTCATCGCAGCAGTCAGTGCAACTCTCTGAAATAAATCAGAACATCATCAGCAAAACAGCATTTCTGACATCATCATTGATCCAGACAGAGGGGAGGGAACCTACACTCCTGATGAGGCTTTTATGCTCCTCTGATTGGCTGAAGAAGCTGCCAATATCCCTGATACTGACGGACCCGTCGATGCAGCGGGTCACCCAGGCCTGGTACTGGTCCCGGTCAGGGAGCTGGTCCCAGAAGATCTTGAAGGCCTCCCACACCGTCTCCTGGCACACTGAAACACCAACACAGACATGTCCAACAGGGAGGACGGACCCAGTGGTCTTATTGGTACCATGAGCCCAGCGGCAGGCCGGATTATTATGCTGACATTTTCCTTATCATTCCTGCTTCTGGACACTTCAGCTTTCCCTTTCTGGACCCTAACCATCATCCACAGGAGGTCAATCCACAATGTGGACGTTTCCTCAGATCCCACAGCATGGACTTACTGTTAGGTTCTCATTAAAATCAAGAAAAAAAATCTGAAAATAAGTCAAATAAACATATTGGAGAAAAACATTCATACCGGGCAGAAACTAATCTTCTCTGAGACTGAGAAAATATTTGATCATAAAATAAATAAAGGGATTTTCTCTCGATGTGAACTGCATGGTGGGCGGGGCTGTGTTCCTATTGGCCAGTCTCAGCTTGACTGACAGCTGGGTGCTGACATTAGCTTTTAACCCCGCCCATCCGGCCATTAACGCTCGTCCACATTCCAGGATAGGCGCTGCTCATCTAGACTCTGTTCGTAAACCTAGGACGCATCCTTAGAAAACCAGATTCGAAGGCCGATTACGTCATAGCGCGGCGCCGAGGTCTGGTCGGATTCCAAGAATCCTCGTTATGCGGCCTTAAAATGCGTCCTTCTTTTTGCCTGATTTGAAGGACGGGTCCGATGTATCCTCGGTATTCTTGGAAATCCCAGGATTCATTGCGAGACCAAGCAAGCTGTGATCAGAGGAAAGGTTACTTGGCGCCAAACAGTGGTGAAAATTGGAAGTTCAGTTTAAAATAATCCAGTCAGTGAATAGTTCCGTCTGAAATGAATGAAAAATAGTTGTTTTAATGGTTATAGAGTCAGATATGTGGCGGTAATGTTTGGTTTATCTAAAGGTTTTTATCTGTTACTGTGTAAATGGGTTTGGCTGGAATTTAAGGACAGATTCTAATATATCTGCAGGGTGGGGACTATAAATCTGATAGGATTTTTATCTTTTTATTGCTGTTTTGCACAATATGCTTAACTACGTATTTTTTGTTGTTGAATATTAGAGATTTTGCAGATATATTTTTTATAAATACATTGTTTAGATTTACTTATATCTTTCTACCCCTTTTAAAGAATAGAATAGAAAATCCCTTTATTGTCCCACAATGGGCAAATTATCAGCAGCAGAAAGATTATTGAAAATGGTCACACAAAGGAGGACCTTAGAAAAATGTATAAGAATAACATAATAGGGAAGAGTTAAAATATAAACAATACAATTCTGTAAAGTGTTTTAACAATATAAAACTGGGGAATAAATCAATATGCAGCTATGGACATTTTTACAGTAATTTGAAAATAGCAGCAACATCAGAGATGTGCAGAATGACAGCAGCAGGTTATTTAACTGACTAAGGTTTCTATCATTACATTTGATTTGATTAGTTCCTGCTGCCGGTGGTTGGAACCTTTATTCCACTCTGGATTCTTGTGAGTGTAGTCTTTGTTCACTTCACAATAAAAAAGAAATGGACAGTTTTGAAAACTTCTGTATTCATTCTTTTCCTGCTTTGTGTGTCAACGTTCACGGTTGCTAAGCAACAGAGCATACGGCGGTAAAACCCGCCGAAGGGTAGACCTGGTCGAATTCACAGCCTAAACTCTTCCGGTCTCCTTATTTTCAAGGACTTCGAAGGATCCAGTCTAGGTAGACCGCGTCCTTGGAGGACCCGTCCTAGGTTTTCGAACAGAGCCCTAGACTCTATATATATATATATATAAATACATATATATATATATATACACATATATATATATATATATATATATATATATATATATATATATATGGGTCAAATGGTTTCAGTTGTTGTTTTTCCTCAATCTAACATGCAATATTTTTCAGCTCATGACTTTTTCAAATGAGAAATAAACCAGACTCCAAAAACGACATCATCATCCACTGAATAAAGAATTCCTACATTGACATTTCACAGTGAATTACTTTCTATTTCCTCTACTTTCTATTTTCTAACATTAGAAAATAGTCAGTCAATGTCTTCCAGTCAGTCTGAGATAGCCAGACTAATGTTAGTCTGCAGACTGAACTATAGGATCCATCGGCTATAGATGGATTTATTGCTTAGTTCATCCACTGACTGGGAAATGACCAGTGGAACGTCTTCCTGCAGACAGAAAACTGCTGGTTTTAGCAGCTAAATGCTGCACAGGGAGACATTATCACTGCATGTCTCTGTGGGAGTGGGGAGTACCAAGATGGTGGACGGTTGCTTCACTTCTGTCAATCAGCAATCCAGTGAATATATAAAGATCAGTGTCTGACCCCCTGGTTACCAGGGTTACCCGACCTCCGACCCCCTGGTAACCAGCGTTACCCGACCTCGGACTCCCTGGTTCCCAGGGTTACCTGACCTCCGACCCCCTGGTAACCAGCGTTACCCGACCTCCGACCCCCTGGTAACCAGCGTTACCCGACCTCCGACCCCCTGGTTCCCAGGGTTACCCGACCTCGGACTCCCTGGTTACCAGGGTTACCCGACCTCCGACTCCCTGGTAACCAGGGTTACCCGACCTCGGACTCCCTGGTAACCAGCGTTACCCGAACTCGGACTCCCTGGTTACCAGGGTTACCCGACCTCGGACTCCCTGGTAACCAGGGTTACCCGACCTCGGACTCCCTGGTAACCAGGGTTACCCGACCTCGGACTCCCTTGTTCCCAGGGTTACCCGACCTCGGACTCCCTGGTAACCAGCGTTACCCGACCTCCGACCCCCTGGTTCCCAGGGTTACCCGACCTCGGACTCCCTGGTTACCAGGGTTACCCGACCTCCGACTCCCTGGTAACCAGGGTTACCCGAACTCGGACTCCCTGGTTACCAGGGTTACCCGACCTCGGACTCCCTGGTAACCAGCGTTACCCGAACTCGGACTCCCTGGTTACCAGGGTTACCCGACCTCGGACTCCCTGGTAACCAGGGTTACCCGACCTCGGACTCCCTGGTAACCAGGGTTACCCGACCTCGGACTCCCTTGTTCCCAGGGTTACCCGAACTCGGACTCCCTGGTTACCAGGGTTACCCGACCTCGGACTCCCTGGTTACCAGGGTTACCCGACCTCCGACTCCCTGGTAACCAGGGTTACCCGACCTCGGACTCCCTGGTAACCAGGGTTACCCGACCTCCGACTCCCTGGTAACCAGGGTTACCCGACCTCCGACTCCCTGGTAACCAGGGTTACCCGACCTCCGACCCCCTGGTTACCTGGGTTACCCGACCTCCGACCCCCTGGTTACCAGGGTTACATGACCTCCTACCCCCTGGTTACCAGGGTTACCCGACCTCTGACCCTGGCAGTCCCCTGCTGAAGCGGACGTTACCTCTGAGGTGGAAGAAGTCCAGGTGGTTGCTGACGGCCTGGTTGAACGTCTCCTCGGAGCAGAGCTTCACTCCGCTGGGAAACAGAACGTTCCTCTTCCTGCGGATCAGAACCGAGTGTTTCCTGAAGGACAGCTGGTCTGAATCCACAGGTCCTGCTGCCAGGTCCTGACCAGGATCTGGAGGAAACAGAACCGTCTTACAGGGTAAAACCAGACGGAGCAGGAAGGTTTTCTGAAACATTCGGGTCCATTAATAGAACGGTTCTGCTACGTCGTCAGAACCGCCTGTTCTCTTTGGGTCTAACTGATTGACAGAGCTCAGTTCTGCAGGGTTCTGGTTCCCCTGAACTATTTTGGCCTTCAGTCTAAGAAAACAAGCCCAGGACTCTAGAAACCACGGTAACAGCCATGAAGGCGCCTCCACTCACCCGTCTCCGTGCACAGCAGTCCTGACAGCAGCACGGCCCACAGTGTCCACAGACCCACGCTCCTCCCAAACATTTTCTCTCCCAACAGGTCCCTTGGTTCCCTCACCTCCACCGACTCGTTCTTCCTCCGCCTCTCATGGCAGAACTAACAGAACCGGGCTGGGTGGAGAAGCGGCGGCGTCTCCCTCTCAGCTGAGCAGATGGCAGATTGGTTAATCCCATTTGCTAAGCTGCTGGAGTGGATGAGTGTCAGAGGTCCGACTGGAGGCACTGATCTGTGAGCCTAAATGGTTACCGGATCGCCTCGCCGGGTCCCGGATCCGTTAGGAACCGACTACTGAGCCTCAACGGGTCCCGGACCGGTTCAGTCAGTGATTCTGACCGGATAAGAACCAGAATTAAACTTTGAACAAAGAGGCTCTGAACTGCTGGACTCCAGTGGAACTGAAATGGGCCAAAATAACCAGAACCAGTAGGAATACTGGATCCATAGATAACCAGAACCAGTAGGAATACTGGATCCATAGATAACCAGAACCAGTAGGAATACTGGAGCCATAGATAAACAGAACCACTGGGAATACTGGAGCCATAGATAACCAGAACCAGTAGGAATACTGGAGCCATAGATAACCAGAACCACTGGTAATACTGGATCCAAAGCTAACCAGAACCAGTAGGAATACTGGATCCATAGATAACCAGAACCAGTAGGAATACTGGAGCCATAGATAACCAGAACCACTGGGAATACTACTGGTTCTGGTTATCTATGGCTCCAGTATTCCTACTGGTTCTGGTTATCTTTGGCTCCAGTATTCCCAGTGGTTCTGGTTATCTATGGATCCAGTATTCCTACTGGTTCTGGTTATCTTTGGCTCCAGTATTCCCAGTGGTTCTGGTTATCTATGGATCCAGTATTCCTACTGGTTCTGGTTATCTTTGGCACCAGTATTACCACTGGTTCTGGTTATCTATGGCTCCAGTATTCCTACTGGTTCTGGTTATCTTTGGCTCCAGTATTCCCAGTGGTTCTGGTTATCTATGGCTCCAGTATTCCGGCTGGTTCTGGTTATCTTTGGCTCCAGTATTCCTACTTGTTCTGGTTATCTTTGGCACCAGTATTACCACTGGTTCTGGTTATCTATGGCTCCAGTATTCCTACTGGTTCTGGTTATCTTTGGCTCCAGTATTCCTACTGGTTCTGGTTATCTTTGGCTCCAGTATTACCACTGGTTCTGGTTATCTATGGCTCCAGTATTCCTACTGGTTCTGGTTATCTATGGCTCCAGTATTACCACTGGTTCTGGTTATCTTTGGTTCCAGTATTCCTACTGGTTCTGGTTATCTTTGGCTCCAGTAGGAATACTGGAGCCATATAACCAGAGGTCAGATGAAGTCAAACACACACATCCGTTCTAAATGGACCAGTCCAGAACCACACCTCTTGAACAATTCCAATCTAAGTCCACCAGAACGGTTAACTGGGACCAGAACTATAGGGGCTTTCCAGACCTGAAGAGAAACCGATGATTCCAGAACCCAAACCAGGCCAGAACCAGGAGCTAAAGAGAGCTGGATCAGAACTGGACAATTTCAGGTGTGTCTATCAGGGGTTCTGGTGTGTCCATCGGGGGTTCTGGTGTGCCCATCGGGGGTTCTGGTGTGTCCATCGGGGGTTCTGGTGTGTCCATCAGTGGTTCTGGTGTGTTCTGGTGTGTCCATCGGGGGTTCTGGTGTGTCCATCAGTGGTTCTGGTGTGTTCTGGTGTGTCCATCAGTGGTTCTGGTGTGTTCTGGTGTGTCCATCGGGGGTTCTGGTGTGTCCATCAGTGGTTCTGGTGTGTTCTGGTGTGTCCATCAGGGGTTCTGGTGTGTCCATCAGGGGTTCTAGTGTGTCCATCAGGGGTTCTGGTGTGTCCATCAGTGGTTCTGGTGTGTCCATCAGTGGTTCTGGTGTGTCCATCAGTGGTTCTGGTGTGTTCTGGTGTGTCTATCAGGGGTTCTGGTGTGTCTATCAGGGGTTCTGGTGTGTCCATCAGGGGTTCTGGTGTGTTCTGGTGTGTCCATCGGGGGTTCTGGTGTGCCCATCGGGGTTCTGGTGTGTCCATCAGTGGTTCTGGTGTGTCCATCAGTGGTTCTGGTGTGTTCTGGTGTGTCCATCAGGGGTTCTGGTGTGTCCATCAGGGGTTCTGGTGTGTCCATCAGGGGTTCTGGTGTGTTCTGGTGTGTCTATCAGGGGTTCTGGTGTGTCCATCAGGGGTTCTGGTGTGTTCTGGTGTGTCCATCGGGGGTTCTGGTGTGCCCATCGGGGTTCTGGTGTGTCCATCAGTGGTTCTGGTGTGTCCATCAGTGGTTCTGGTGTGTTCTGGTGTGTTCTGGTGTGTCCATCAGGGGTTCTGGTGTGTCCATCAGGGGTTCTGGTGTGTTCTGGTGTGTCTATCAGGGGTTCTGGTGTGTCCATCAGGGGTTCTGGTGTGTTCTGGTGTGTCCATCAGGGGTTCTGGTGTGTCCATCAGGGGTTCTGGTGTGTCATTCCGTGGTTCTGGTGTGTTCTGGTGTGTCCATCAGGGGTTCTGGTGTGTTCTGGTGTGTCCATCAGGGGTTCTGGTGTGTTCTGGTGTGTCCATCAGGGGTTCTGGTGTGTCCATCAGGGGTTCTGGTGTGTCCATCAGGGGTTCTGGTGTGTTCTGGTGTGTCCATCAGGGGTTCTGGTGTGTCCATCAGTGGTTCTGGTGTGTTCTGGTGTGTCCATCAGGGGTTCTGGTGTGTCCATCAGGGGTTCTGGTGTGTTCTGGTGTGTCCATCAGGGGTTCTGGTGTGTTCTGGTGTGTCCATCAGGGGTTCTGGTGTGTTCTGGTGTGTCCATCAGGGGTTCTGGTGTGTTCTGGTGTGTCCATCAGGGGTTCTGGTGTGTCCATCAGGGGTTCTAGTGTGTCCATCAGGGGTTCTGGTGTGTCCATCAGCGGTTCTGGTGTGTCCATCAGCGGTTCTGGTGTGTCCATCAGGGGTTCTAGTGTGTCCATCAGGGGTTCTAGTGTGTCCATCAGCGGTTCTGGTGTGTCCATCAGGGGTTCTGGTGTGTCCATCAGCGGTTCTGGTGTGTCCATCAGCGGTTCTGGTGTGTCCATCAGGGGTTCTAGTGTGTCCATCAGGGGTTCTAGTGTGTCCATCAGCGGTTCTGGTGTGTCCATCAGGGGTTCTGGTGTGTCCATCAGGGGTTCTGGTGTGTCCATCAGGGGTTCTGGTGTGTCTATCAGTGGTTCTAGTGTGTCCATCAGGGGTTCTGGTGTGTCCATCAGGGGTTCTGGTGTGTCCATCAGGGGTTCTGGTGTGTCTATCAGGGGTTCTAGTGTGTCCATCAGGGGTTCTAGTGTGTCCATCAGGGGTTCTGGTGTGTCCATCAGTGGTTCTGGTGTGTTCTGGTGTGTCCATCAGCGGTTCTGGTGTGTCCATCAGGGGTTCTGGTGTGTCCATCAGGGGTTCTGGTGTGTCCATCAGCGGTTCTGGTGTGTCCATCAGGGGTTCTGGTGTGTCCATCAGGGGTTCTGGTGTGTCCATCAGCGGTTCTGGTGTGTCCATCAGGGGTTCTGGTGTGTCCATCAGTGGTTCTGGTGTGTTCTGGTGTGTCCATCAGCGGTTCTGGTGTGTCCATCAGGGGTTCTGGTGTGTCCATCAGTGGTTCTGGTGTGTCTCTCAGCCCCCCGCTGGTTCTGTGATCCGATGATCAGGTTGTTTTGTTACAGAAACCCGGTTCAGCCAGCAGAACCCCCCCATCACTGATCCACTTAATGAGCCGTAAGCTGATTGGTTCACAGCAGGGGGCGCCGTGCTAAACCCGGGATTACTCAACCAAACCGCACCGTATCACTACGGAACCCAGAGACTCCAGCAAGAGAACTGCAGGAACCGGGTCAGAACTTTGGACAGAAACGATTGGTCTTTCAAAATAAGAGCCCCAGCCTCCCGAGCTTAAATAAATACTTTTATTTTATTTAAAAAGAAAAGGGGGGGGGGGGAATGGATTTACATTCACACGTTAGAACTCGGGTTCTGGTTCTGCTCGCTCAGCTGGGTCCGGTGCAGCCTCATAATCAAGCTGCGGATCTCCTCGCGCTTCTGCCGCACCTGTTGCCGTGGAAACCAGTTCTGCAATAGCGGCGGGAGGTCAAAATGGACCACAGGGTTCTGAAAGAGCCAATCAGAAGAACAGGTTCAATTAGTGACCATTTAAACAAGGCTGATGGCTCCACCTTAACCAGTTAAACCGTTTGATCTTTATAGATTCAACTCGTTAAACTGTTTGATCTTTATAGATTCAACTCGTTAAACTGTTTGATCTTTATAGATTCAACTCGTTAAACTGTTTGATCTTTATAGATTCAACTCGTTAAACTGTTTGATCTTAATCGATTAAACTTGTTAAACTGTTTGATCTTAATCAATTAAACTTGTTAAACTGTTTGATCTTTATAGATTCAACTCGTTAAACTGTTTGATCTTAATCGATTAAACTTGTTAAACTGTTTGATCTTAATCAATTAAACTTGTTAAACTGTTTGATCTTTATAGATTCAACTCGTTAAACCGTTTGATCTTTATAGATTCAACTCGTTAAACCGTTTGATCTTAATCGATTAAACTCGTTAAACCGTTTGATCTTAATTAAACTCGTTAAACTGTTTGATCCTAATCGATTAAACTTGTTAAACTGATCTTAATTGTGTGTTCAGGCTTTAATGGCATCTAATGGCTCATTGAACGGCATGCTGGGTTCAGGGTCCGTCTCAGGGACCCGGGGTTCAGGGTCCGTCTCAGGGACCCGGAGCATCCTGGGTTAAGGGTCCGTCTCAGGGACCCGGGGTTCAGGGTCCGTCTCAGGGACCCGGAGCATCCTGGGTTCAGGGTCCGTCTCAGGGACCCGGAGCATCCTGGGTTCAGGGTCCGTCTCAGGGACCCGGAGCATGCTGGGTTCAGGGTCCGTCTCAGGGACCCGGAGCATGCTGGGTTCAGGGTCCGTCTCAGGGACCCGGAGCATGCTGGGTTCGGGTTTAGGGTCCGTCTCAGGGACCCGGAGCATGCTGGGTTCAGGGTCCGTCTCAGGGACCCGGAGCATGCTGGGTTCAGGGTCCGTCTCAGGGACCCGGAGCATGCTGGGTTCAGGGTCCGTCTCAGGGACCCGGAGCATGCTGGGTTCAGGGTCCGTCTCAGGGACCAGGAGCATGCTGGGTTCAGGGTCCGTCTCAG